CCTCCCCCGCGCGGCCAGCAGAGCGGCCCCAGGCAGAGCAGGGAAAGCAATTAAAAAGGAGGATTTTTAAATTATTAACATTTGGTGAATTATTCAGGCTCTTGGTGCCTGAGCTGCCCTGGGGGACGGTGCCTGGTGTGAGGAATCCTGCCTCCTTTCCCGGCGCCCCCACCCACCTCTAGCCCGAAAAGCCAAGCTCCCCTGCCAGGCGGGCGGCTGGGGCCTGGGAGGCTGAGTGCAGCGGGCGGGAGGTCCGACTGCATCCCGGAGTGACCCTGGAGAACGTCATGAGGTGGGGTGGACAGGGTCAGAGCCGACCCGAGGGAAGGGGCAGCCCCTCTAGCTGGAGTCTCTTCAGCACTTGGGGAGTCCTGGTGGCAAAATGCCCGCTGCACCCAGCCCTGCGGTGCTGCTCACTGCCCCTCCCCAGGCTCCCGGGGCAGGCATCTGGCAGGTCAGGGTCCCCCGGCTGGAGAGACAACTCACAGACCACAGGGTCCAGGAGCTCTCCTCCGGGGGTGCTGCTGAAATGCCCACCGTCCACCCTCACCTGGTCCACCCCCGACTCCATTTCTCCATATATAAAATGTGAGTCACCCATGAGCCTAGGGGCCTGGAGGACATGGAGGTGTGGCCCGCCCCAGGGGGCATGGGGCAGGACGTGTGGCAGAGGGTCCCTCCAGGGACCTGCATCCAGCCTGGCCTTGGAGTCAGCAGAGCCTCAGCAACAGGAATGGCCGAGCACATGTAGGTGGGGAGGTGATGAGGGCTCATTCCTGGGGGGGATCATGCCAGGGTGGGTCCTCACCGGGGCTGGGGAGGCCCAGGTGGTAGAGGCGCTGAGGGTCCTCAAAGGTGCTGGCCTCGCTCAGCGCCGACACGAGCCGACGGTAGTGGTCCTCCGGGGCCATGTTGGGCCCCAGCTCTGGCGGCAGCAGCAGTGCTTCTACTGGGGAGGACCCGGGGTGAGAGGCTTCTCCAGGCACTGCCGAGGAACACCCCCTCTAGAGCCCCTGCTTGAGATCCAGGGACCCTTGGGGACTGCCCCCTCCCCTGGTGACCTGTAAGAGACACACTCTTACCTTGGGGGGATTCGCTTCGTGCCCTCTTCTCCGAAGAGCAGTCGCTGCTGATATGGGGGGAGCGGCCCAGCCTCTTGCCCAACAGGTCACCTGCGGGAGGGTAGTGAGTGCCTACCTGCATCTCAAGGAGTGGAAGGGGGACCCAGCCCCTGCTCCAGCTCAGCCTGGACAGCACCCACCATCTCTCAGGGGGCCCTTGGTCCTGGTGAGTACAGGCCTGTCCAGCCCTGGGAGCCCCAGCCTTCAGCGCAGAGGACATCACGCCTGGCTGTGGTGGGGCAGGGGCCCAGGAGAGCCCTGACACTGGCCTTGGTGCTGGTGCATGTGTGCAGAAGAGATCCACAGCAGGCACCCAGCTGCCCCACCCGCCAGCCTAGCTTCTTGTGCAGTTAATGAGCCCCACATCATCCCCCTGGAGGAGAATAAAAAGCTTTTGATTGGACTGGGCAGCACCTTCCCCTCCTGGACAGGGGTGAGGGCAGGCTGTGCAGGGTCACATGCCAGCATGGGGTAGGACAAGCCGGGAAGGACCTCACACCTGACCTCTTCCTGCTCTGTGAGTCACTGGCCTGTGGGCCCCCCAGGCCACCTTGAGGCCCTTCCACTCCCAGGCCTCCTACTTGGTCATACCCATCCCTGCCCCTAGAAGGCCCAAGTCCACCTCTCTGGCCCAGTCCTGCCTGAGCTAGCACCCTAGTGTGGCTGTCACGTCCTGTCCACCTGCCCAGCCAGGCTCTGGGCTCTTGGGGTGCACCTCCCAGTAGCCTCACCCACCTCCTCAGCCAGGAGGCCAGCCCAGCAGGTGGCAGAGGGGAGGCCCAGGCCAGGCCCAGCCCACTCTCCTGAGGTCCTCCCTTGGGTTCTGCTGACCACACCCATTCCAGACCATACCATCCATGTACCCATCTCCGACCTACCCCAAGCTCCTCCCAAGCCCCTGACTCCATGCCCTGGGGGTCTCCTGGGCCAGCCAGTGCCTCCGACTCTGGCCCCTCCTCATCCTCATGTGGCCTCTAGGTGGGTGGGGTGAGGGGCCACCCCCCTGTGACCCAAGACCTCCATGAGGCCTAGGCAGTGGGGCTCCCAAGCCCGTCCCCCCACAAGCCCTGCCGTCAGCTCCAGGCCTAATTCTTTTTTCTTATTCCCTTAATCTGTCATTTTTATCAGGCTGGGGAAGTGCGGTGGCCACACCGATCAATCCCACATTACAGCTGACAGAGCGGTGCTAATAACTTATTGATCCTGGCCCGGCCGCTGTCAGGCCCGGCCCCAGAGACAGGGTCAGTCCCATGGCCTGGTCCAGGGTCCCCGCCTCAGTGACAGATTGGGCGGCTGGGCCCCGTGGGCGGCGGGGGGCACCTGGCCACGCACGGATCCAGGGACGTGCCAGAGCTCAGTGGGCTGGGAGGGGTGGGCCAAGGCTGGAGGAGCCTGGCCCTTTTCCGCACCTGCTGCCTGGCCCACCATGCACATGCCCTCAGGGTTAGCAAGGCCTCTCACCTCCTGACCATCAGTTTTCCATTTTACACGTGGAAACTCCCCTTTCCGTTCATGTGGGGGGCTAAGGCCTCCTCATAGCCTGGGGGAGGTGACTGGGTGGGGGAGTCAGGGGGAAGGGGGCCTGCCAGGAGACCGCAGGAAGGCCGATGAGGCCACGCTCGCTCCTCACTTGTGGACCCCAGCGGTCTCACAGAGGCAGATGCAAGACCTGCTCTGAGTCCCTGGCAGCCCAGGGCCCAGGGAGGTGCAGCTCAGCGGGAGGGCCCGGGCTGGGAACAGCATAGATGTGTGGTTTCTGGGGTCACAGGAAGGGAGAAGAGGTGAACGCCCCCTCCAAGAGGAAGCTCCAGGGAGCGAGCCAGGCCCTGACACGGAGTGTGCGTGGGAAACCTGGACACGGGTCACAGGACACACGGGCCCTGTAGAGCCTAGGAGCCTGGAAGTGCATGAACACGCCCTGACTCCGTGGGTGAGACCTGCCGGGCAGCCCCCATCACGTGCACCCCACAGGACTGCAGACACACACATGCCTGCACACGCACACGCGTGTACCTGAGGAGGTCTCCCTGTGTGAGGGCACAGAGGGAGGGCCTGCTGGCTCAGAATATCTCAATCACTGTGGGGCTCCCTCAGCTCTGCCAATCGATGGGGCAATTAGATTTTATCAACCGCCTCTCAGCTGTCCTCCACGCGGCATCAGAAGCTGCCCCCACCCAGTCCCACAAAGGCATTCCCAGGCGCACAGAACGCGGACGGGGGACACAGATGGGGGCGGCCTCCCCCACCCCACCTTCCCAAGAGATGCAGGCCCTGCTGGGAACACCCCTGCCCGGGGTCCACAGGGCCACAGGGGCGACCCCCTCCTTTCACAGCCTGCCCTGGGGCTGAGGCTCTGCTGTGCCCCTCTCTACAGCAGTGCCCTCTGAGGGGGCCTGGGTCCCCAAACTGCCCCCTCCCTCTGAGGTCCTGTGCCAGGTTCCCCTTATCCCCCCACAACTGTGACCAGGCAGCAGCACCTCCCTCAGGCACCGGATCCCTTCCCTCCCAGAACCCCTTCCCTCCCGGACCCCCTTTCCTCCCGGAGCCCTAGGAGGCGGGACCGGGGACCCCCTTTCCTCCCCGAGCCCTAGGAGGCGGGACCTGGGACCCCCTTTCCTCCCGGAGCCCTAGGAGGCGGGACCAGTCAGGCGTGCGCTGCACGGTTCTGTGGGAGTGAGTGCATTCCTCCAGGGTGTGCATTTCTGAACCTCTGAGGCCACGCCTACGTCTGCTCTGTGAAGAGGGGGTGGCAGGGCCCCAGCCACTCCAAGCCCACCCCAGCGGCAGCCACAGTGGAGGCAGCCACAGCGGAGCCACCGCCTCTGCCTCCTGTCTGCCCCACTGGCTGGGATTAACACAATTACCATCACATGCAGCCCCGGGGGACAGGCCGCTCCTCCTGCCTCTCTGGCTGCCTGCCAAGGCTGCTGGTGCTGAGTGGAGACGCCACTGTCCTCTGGCCCCACAGCCCCGACCCCGCCCTCAGGCCCCCTGTGCTCCTCACCTGCAGGTCCCAGGCCGATCTCCAGGCTGCCTCTCTGGAATTCACAGCGGCTCTGATGCTCGGGCATCACGAGGTGGCGGCTGCGGTGGATGCTGGATATGAGGGTGGGAAGGTTGCCGTCCTGGCTGCAGAACGAGAGCGGGAAAGGCTGACCCCGTGGGCAGCTGCGAGAGGCTGGAGCCCAGCCTGGGCACAGGGAGTGCCTAGCTCTGCGTGTGATCGTGGGGCGACCTCTGAGTGCCGCGTGGCTGTGCCCACACCTCGGCATGTGGCCTGTGATGCCACTGTGTGCACACCCACGGAGCAAGCCAAAGCGACACAGAACCTGGCACTGGGACCCCACTGCTGCTCTGTGTGGAGCACCAGCGGCTCTGCCTTCACGCCCTCCGGAGGGAATCGCACTGTTACCTCACTCCCTGCCTCAAAGGGGGTCAAGGGGCCCACCAGGCAGAGGGACCCCGCACGGGAAGAGGCTGGTCTGCACAGGGGCAGTCGCAGGACAGGCCCCAGGAGAGGACAAGCCACATGCGAGCTGCCAGCCCCTTGGTCATGAATTTCGGTGAAAACTTGCAACCATTCCCTGACCCCCGGTTTCTGCACACGAGGAAACTGAAGCCCAGAGTACAGTCCTGTGGCTGATGCACGCGCACAGAGCACCAGCAGACACATGCAGCTTGCACCAGGCACCAGGGCTGTGTGCTCCGACCTCCCACTGTCCCCCAAGCAGGTGTGGGCTTGGAATCAACATGCATTTAACTCTTTTGTTCCCTCGTTTCTCCTCGTCTTGCTAATTCAGCCGAATCCCACATCCACAGAGTCCCAGAGAGCAATGGGAGGATCTGTGTGGAGCACGGCTCTCCACCCCTTCCCGGTTCCGTGAGCCTCTCCCCAGGTCAGCAGAGAAGGGGCTCAGGGTCCAGGCGCCGCTCCCCAAGCAGCATTCCTGCAGCGCAGCCCCTGCCCACCTGTAACGGAGCAGCCTCCTGGCGCAGTGACCTGGGAGCCAACCCTAAACCTCGTTAAATAGCCCCCAGCCCCCCTGACCTGGGCTGGCTGGAGCTGGGCTAATCCAGGGCTGCCCCTAAGCCGAGCACCAAAGACTCCCAGGCTGGGCTCTCAAGCCTTCCAGGAGACCCAGATGCCGGCTCTCTCCCCACCCCCACCGGCCCCCAGTGGGAACGCAAGCCCCTCCCCAGGCACACAGGAGGGCAGCTGGGTGGGAGTAAGTACTTTATGGGATTAATCGGCAGCGAGTCTCATCCCTTCCATGATCCTAATCGATGCGGGGGTGTCAGGAGAGGACTGCTGGCCTCAGCATGGGGTGGGGGCCGAGGGCTGGCCTGGCAGCAGCCACAGCTGCCGTGGAGTTCTCCCCAGGGGTCCCCCCTCTGGTGTCCCCGGGACGCCTGCAGGAGGAGAACTAGCTTCCCAGAGACTCCAGAGGGTGGGGGCTGGCTGTGAGCCCTGAGCCTGGCGCCCAGAAGGAAAGTGAGGGAGGGCCTGACAGCTGGGTGGAGGGGCTGTGGCTGGGCAGGGGCACCTGGGGGGGAACTGGGTGCCACCCGCCTTCCCCACTCCTGGTCTCTACCTTGGAGTTTACTCCCGAGGCTCTGACACAGCCTGGCCTGGCCCAGCCCCTGAAAACCTGTTCTGGTCACTTGGCCACTCAGTGAACCAATTATGCCAGTTTTATGTAAAGAAACACGCCCTGGACGTGCCAGAGCGGAGACGCAGGAACCTGGCCCGGGGCACATCAGCACATGGTCCTCGAACCACAGAATGCCCTCTGCACCCTCCTTCGCACAAGGAACAAAGTCCCTGAGGGTCTCTGTGGTGCAGCTGGGCCGCAGGTCAGGAGGTGGGGAAGCTGGGAGACGCAGTCAGGGCCAGGGCAGGAGGTGCAGGAAGGAGAGGGTGAGGGGGAGGCCAGAGCCTGGCAGGTGTGACCCCAGTTCCCCAGGCAGGGGCCTCCCGCCACTGCCCCTCAGTGATGACCACACAGTCCAGCCCTTGCCCATTTTTCCACCAGCTCAGGGGCCCAGGAGAGAGGGGCCAAGCCCCCGCCTGCAAACAATGGCTTGAGGAGCATCTGCCAGCCCTGGTTCCTGAGGCAGAGGAGGATGGCCTGGGGCTCTGCGGGCTCCAAAAGGCAGGTGGTCACTGCAGAGCCAGCCAGACAGAGGGACAGGGATGGAAGGACAGACGGACAGATGGGTGGAGACCAATGGATGGGAGCAAATGAACACACAGATGGAGGTGGCCTGGCCACAGAGGCACCTGTGGGAGCCCGCACAGGTTCTGTGGGAGCCTGCAGAGGCAGACGGACCCAGGGACAGGCCGAAAGAAACACAGACACGGCCTGGGGCCACTGTGGCCCCTGGGTTCAGGGACCACCACCCACTCTGACCAGACACCAGGGTCAGGTCCACAGACGGGGGTTTAGTCCACTCAGACGTGCTGCGCCTTCTCCTTCGGGGACCCCAGCACGCCCTCCCCTCTGACCGAAATCTCGCCCTTGGGAGATTCAGAAACTCATTCTAGCCCCTTCTAGGGCCCATGCAGGATGGAAGACCTGGCCTCTTCCTAGGGCACCCCAGGCTGCCAGCCGTCAGTGCTGCTGAGGGTCGCTGCATTCCCGAGGCCAGGTGGACAGAGGAGGGGCGGCAGGCAGGAGGAGCCGTTACTGGAGCGGGGGGAACCGCGGCTGGGTTTCCCTGCAGGCCTCACTGACAAATTTATTCTGTAGTGTCCCAAGTAAAAGGCTCATAAAATGTCATCCATGTTCATGACAGTTCATAAAAATGATCAGTTGAGCTGGCAACCCCACAATGAGGTGGAAATAAGTTTAAAGATGTTTTTATTGTAATTCGGCTCTGAGATTCAGACATCCTCAGAGACATAAATAACACATCTGGCGTGGAGCCAGGACCTGCAGGTCCCCTGGGCCCTCACCGCTCTGGCCCCGGGAAGCTGGCTTTGCGGCGGACGCCCCCTTCCTGCCTTGCTGCCCTGGAAGCCACAGGGTAAGACCTGACCCCACTGACAGAATCCACGGCTGGGCTCTGTTCACAGACTGACCACCCGCTTCCCCCTGGAGCCAGGAACTCGGGTCCCCCAACTGCCTTGACCTCTTCCCTGGGGCTCTTCGTTTTCATCTGCTTCCCACATCCTGGAATCGCACCCACTACTGTCCTGCTTCCACAGCCTGAATCCAATCCCCCGTCTGCCAGGAGGGCCTCCGAGGGACCTTCTCCACACGCACACCTGGTCATTGCCCCGCGCAAGAACTTCCAGGGGCTCCCCGCCTAGAGGACCGCGCCCACAGGCCCAGCATCCGCGAGCCTTCAGCATCCAACTGAACCACAGCTGCCAGGTTCACTCCTCCTCCCTCCTACACGCCCTTCCCTGTTCCTCCACCCTCCGCAGACATCCCCTCGCCTCAGTGAGCTCCTACACATCCTTCAAGGCCCCACTCACACACCATTCTCACCTCCTGGTGGGTCTGTAGCAGGGTGGGAAGGGGGAGGTGACAGCCTCATTTTTGGGCTCAAATGGCCAGTCTCACATGGGAGGAGGTGCACGCCAACTCTAGGGCCGGGCTACCCAGAACTCACACCTGTGCTGCCGCCGACATCTACCTCTGACTGGGCCTGGGGTCCCTCAGTCTCAACTGGGTGCGACACTGTCTGCCTCCCGGGCGGGGGGACAACCTTGCAGCACACGTCAAACCTGGCAGACGCTCAGCCAGCATCAGCTCACGCTATCTGACAGGGGACAGCAGCCAGCAGGCCACGGGCAGGGGTGGGAGGGAGGGAGGGAGGGGAGTCACGGCCCCCTCTTACACGCACAGCACGGCTCCTACCTGCAGGACGTCTCTCGGAAAGAGATGTTCAGGTCCCAGTGGGTGTGGACTCTGCAGGAAGGGAAGCAGAAGGTCCATGTTGCTCTGGAGGCCCCTGACCCCAGCCTCAGGACAGCAGACCTGTCTCGGGTCAGTGCCCTGCTGGGCCACAGCCCTGGGCAGTGAACGGGGGCGGCTGCTGTGCCCAGCACCATCTGCTACTGGCTCAACGTGCTGGGGTCTCCTGCCAGGAGAGGCCCATGGACCAGTTCCTGCCTCAGCAGACACAGACGTCAGGAGAACAGAACCGAGGCCCCTTCTCCCTCCGGCTTGTTGCACTCAGAGGAGCCCTGGCGTTCTACAGCAGGTAGGGGCCGAGGCTGCTTCCGCACAGTCAGTCATGAGCCTGAATGGAGCTCCTTGTTGCTGGAGCTGCTCTGGCCAGACTGGGAGCCGGTCAGCAGGGGTAGCTGGAGCGTTGGCCCAGGCAGGTGTAGACCTCTGGATCCCAACTGCTGCCAACCTGCCTCCTGCAAGTGAGCGCCGCAGAGCAGAGGTGGGAGGGGACACCAGAGGGGACAGATGAAGAAACAGCTCCTGCCTGCGACCCACACAGGACCCCAAAAAGACCAGCATCCGAGGGAAGTGTGGGAGGCCAGTGTGGACGCTCTCATCTGAGCCGCTGAAGGCCGGAAGCTCCAACCCCATCTGAGCCTTGTGCCTTCCTGTCCGGCCCTGGTCCAGGTACCTTCTCTTCATGATACGGATGTGCGGGCCATCCTCCTGCTTCAAGCCTGGCCGCCGCCCACAGGTGGGACCACTCCCGTCGCTGTCACCATCGCTGGCAGAGAAGCTGGGAGTCCGCTCCTTCTTCAGGCTCCGGGCAGCAGGCAGGGCGACTGTCCTCTTGTCTGCCAGCCGCCCCCGGTTCTGGTGGGGCAGGAGGACAGGAAGGTGAGGCTGGACCGGGCCATTGCATCTCCCGGGGGTCTGCCCTGGCCTCACACCCCAGGCCCAGCCCCAGGCACAGCGGAGGTGCCCTCGGAGCAGCCATCCTCCCTCCACCCACCTCCAGGATGGGCCTGGGGCCAGCAGGAGCCACAGCTGGCCAGAGACCCAGAGGAGAGCTGAGAGATGGGGCCTCAGTTGGGCATCCCCCTACAGACGACGCCCACTGGCTCAGCCCTCCTCTGCCCACCCCACCACAGCCCTTGAGAATGCTGGAGGGTCCTGGCCAACTTCAGGGCGAGTCGGGGCCCCCGTCCCGGGCTTGTGTGCCCCTCACTCCCAGCTCCCTTCTTAGGGGCCCCGCGTGTCTCCTGGGATCTGCTTGTGGCCCGGGGCTGGTTCTAGTGGGCGTGCACTCAAGTGCACGTTACCTCCGTGTATCTGGCTGCCAGTCCCACCCATATTTTGTGAACCTTCTGCCCCACCACACCCTGCCACCGACGCCAATGTTGACAAGCGAATGCCCTTTTCTGTTTCATCAGCGCCACGCACAGCCCAGCTCAGGGGCAGCTGCAGCCGGGCGCAAGGCAACTGGCAACTGTCTGAGCTGAACCCTCGCAGACTGCAGGCCTGGGGCTCACGGGTCACCAGACGAGGAGCCCTGACCAGCCCAGGTCCTCTGTTCCACCAGCCCTGCCTGGCATCTTTCACATGGCTGCTTCTTCCCATCTCCCTTGCACCCACGGAACAAGTGTGTGGAGCGGTGGGTGCCTCGGGTGGGAGCGCAGACGTGCCCCGTGTGGTCCCTGCAGAGCACAGCTGAGCCCCAAGCTCACACACACACGCGGCGGACACGCCTGTACCACCCTGCACAGCACACTGGCTCTGGCCCAGCCCCAGGCCCTTCTGGACTCCTCCAGTGTTTTTAGGTCCTGCCACCCCCAGGGGAAAAAGGAAAGTTATTGATGATTTTCCAGTGGGCGGGAGGCTTTTTAAAATGTAGTAACAGGCTGCTGGCTTCAGGAGGTGGCAGAGCCCTTGAGAGCATCTAACTGACTCCCTCTCCTCCGTTCAGTCACCGGGGCCTCCTTGGACTTCCTCCCTCCCAATGCCAAAACGCAGCCCGGAGCTTGGGGATGAAGGTGTTAGGAGGGTGTCCTCCTCAGACCTAGAACCACCATCACCTTCAAACACACAGCCCCAGCACCAGCTCAGTTTGGGCAGTGCCCCCTCCTCAAGGGTCTGGAAGCTGGAGCATCCCCCAACCCAGGCGGAAGCCCCCGTCCCCCTCACCGGCCACTGGGCCTGCGCTGAGTCCCCTCCTTTCTCTCCACAACAGCTCAGTGGGAAAACTCAGCACTGCTGGGCAGGGGGTGGGGCATGGGGTCCAAGGCCCCTGCTAAGACCCTGCCCTGGCCCCGGGCTGCCCCCAACACCAATGACCACAGCGTGCGGCCAAGGCTGTAGGTGCAGCGCCTGTCTGCCAGGCCTCCGCGTGTCAGCTGGAGCTCGGGGCTCACTTTGGCAGCCACAGCCTGTCCGGCGTGTGCTGTGCTGGGAAGTCTCAGCTCTGCCCTTCTGCAGCCCAAGCACAGGGCTTAGGAGCTCTGACAGCCTCTCCTCTCCCACCTCCCTTCTTCTTTTTTTCTTTGAGACGGAGTCTCGCTCTGTCGCCCAGGCTGGAGTGCAGTGGTGCAATCTCGGCTCACTGCAAGCTCCGCCTCCCGGGTTCACACCCTTCTGCTGCCTCAGTCTCCTGAGTAGCTGGGACTACAGGCATCACCACCTCACCCGGCTAATTTTTTGTATTTTTAGTAGAGATGAGGTTTCACCGTGTTAGCCAGGATGGTCTCCATCTCCTGACCTCATGATCCACCCGCCTCTGCCTCCCAAAGTGCTGAGATTATAGGCGTGAGCCACCGCGCCCAGCCTCCCACCTCCCTTCTTTTGAGAAGAAGACACAATGCTTTTCTCTCTGCTTCTTGTCTGTGGAATGGGAAGAGAGGGAAGCAAGGACCAGAAGACTGCCCTTTGGAAGGAGGCCAGGGCCGGCTGGCTGGGAATGGAGCCCAGGCTGCATGCCAGCCTCAGCCCCGTGATGCACAGAGTCGGGCGTGGGGACACACTGGCACCCCAGCCACACCCCAAGGCACCTGGAGGGCAGGTCTGGGGTGGCTGATGGGGGTGCTGAGGACCAGGACAGCTTCCCTGGCACCCGCCCTGCCCAAGGACAGAACATACCTCCTCCACACTACAGACCTCGGCCAGCCCACCCCAGTTCCACAGCACACAGATCTGAAAACTCAGCCTCTGACAGCACCTCCTCTTGGGAGGTGCTTGGCCTGCAGGGCCCCTGTGCAGGGTCCCCAAGGCACATACACACTCATATTCTGCCCTGGAGTTTCCGTGACCATGAGGTACACATACCTGTGGACCTGGCATGGGGCTTGGGGGAGACAGCCTCTGAGTGAGAAACGTGGGGGTTGGAAAGAAGGGGCCCCTGGAGCTGCTTCCTAGGGGAAGGGTGTGGGACAGGCCTGGGAGGGACTGGCAGAGGCAGGCCTGGATCTGAGCCATCCCTCATGCAGGGCAGGAACATGCAGGGCAGGAACCTGGGAGCCCCAGGTGGGGGGGCATCTCTGGCTGTGGCCCTGGGTTGGGAAGAGATGCACGCCCACTGAAGCAGTGTCAGAAGAGACTGATGCGGGGCTCAGGCTGCCTGCTCCCCACTCCTGTGGGCGGCCTCAAGGGGGCCGCTCCCATCCAGAGACCCAAGGCTAGCCAGTGGGCTGCCCAGAGGAGCCCTCTCCAGCACCAGCTGCTTGAAAGGAGGGAACTGGCCCTCTTGCCCTGGGTAGGTCTGTGACAGCAGGCAGGGGGCTGCCAGCTGTCTGCACACTTGCCTGGGAACTCTGTGAGCTGCCTGCCTGTGCGTGCAGATCCGTGTCGGACTGTGTGTCAGGTGGGCACATGGGTGAAGTGCAGCTGTGTCCCCTTCCCCTGCCCAAATGCTGTATGTCTGAGGGACCAGCTGTCTTCACAGGTGTGTCTGCAGCCTCCCAGCGCCCAGGCTACCAAGCACTCGTGGCTACCAAGCACTCGCAGCTCACAGGCCCCTGGGGTATCCCCTCCCCCATCCTCTCAGGCCCGAAGCAGGCAAGCAGAGGCGGCCACTCAGGCCCACTTTGCACCTGTGCCTCTCCTACGCTTTCCTGGAAGAAGGGGCTCCTGAGTGCACCAGGAATTGCAGCCCCTATCCCCAGCAGCCATGGCCCTAGTTGGCTCCAAACTGGTCCTTCCCAACAGGCAATCTTCATTTTCACATCAATCCTCCAACCCTCGCTGCCCAACTAGGGGGGCTGGAGGCTGGGTGGGGGGTGCAGGTGCCTCCCTGAGCAGAAGGGAGCTCCCAGCATCCCAGTCTGTCCTGCCTGCTCCCTCAGTGAGGGTGTCCATAGCTGTCTACCCTGGGTTGGGGCCTTGAACTAGCCTCCGGCTCCAGTTCTCTGGACACCAAAGGCCCACACTGGAAAGACTGTCCCTGGCTAGCCTCTGTGTCCCTAAGACACACTTTGACATCCAGGCCCTTGCACCCTGGCCTTCAGCACCCCAGAGACACAAGTCACTCACACCCAAGCCTGTAGCTCCCCAAAATGCTGTCATACCCAGAATCACACCTCACCAGCTGGGCCAGAGAACACAGTGACCCCCAAAATGTGACAGGGCACAGTGCCAGGCCCACGTTGAATTACTCCTCCCAGAGAGAAGACCCTGACCCAGGACTCGAGGAGAAGCAACTCCAAGGCACCCAAGGGGAGGCTCTAGGACAGGCACGAGCCCCCTGTCTCCACACTGGGAGGGGGCTCGGGTGCCCAACGACTCCTCCCCCTGTCCAGGTACAAGGGCTGGGAG